TTTCAATTGAAGAATTTAACAGAATTTCGAGATACGATAGATAGATAGATAGATAGATAGATAGATAACGATATTATTAACCGAAGATTCTAAATCGATTTAAAAAGTCCATTTGAAATAAATCGGATCTTATCGTTTATCGTTTACGTGAAATATGCAAAATATATATGTATTTGCATAAAAATTTGCATAAAAAAATTTGCAGTCTAATAACGATGATACGAAATTCTGTGGAACGTGTGTGACGTACTCGGAAATTCTTTCGACCTTTTTTCCATCAAAAGTGCCCGGTTTTCGCGCTAGCCAAGTGATGCATCGTACTTGGAAGTCGTAAATCGTTTCGACGGAAACTTTGCTGTGTTCTTTTTACGTATCGGCCGAATGTAGTTTTATTCATTCTTCCTCCCCTCCCTTCGCTATTAGATAGGTATAATAATCATAGAGAGACGGCGAGAAGGGATGAAAGTGACAAGAAAAATACGAGGCAATTAGTTCGGGAGGAAAGATCGAGGAGATCGTAAAGTTTCGACACGCGAGGAACTTTTGTAATTAAAAGCGTGTGCCTCGTACACACGCTCGCTCGTTAATTCGTTTACGACGCAAGAGAAAAAGGAGAGAAGGAGGGTGGTAAAAAAAGAGGAAGAAAAAAAAAAAAGAAAAAAGAAAAATTAAAAAATTGACCGATTCAAATCGAATCTTTCTCGAGGGGAGAAAAAAAGAGAAAAAGATGAGAACTTTCCTTCGAGATTATTATTTCTTCTGGAAAATTATATACAGTTGTACAATTCTTCGTTTTTAGAGGACAGATTAAACTGGTACGCGAATTTTGTCAACGTTTCTAGCATCGTCCATACGCGTAATACGCGAGCTCTTGCGCCGTCTCTTTAGCCTTAACTAATTTTAAACATAGGTTACAACATAACAGCGACGAATGCGCGTATAAATTATACAAGCGCAAGCTTCGCGTAGAATTAAGGGGAATAGGTGTATGAATAATTATAAAATATTGTTATAAAAAACACCACGGATCTAAACAAAGTTTTCACGTGCATTCGAATATACTTACCAGCATAATTTATGCGCGCGCAAACTTACGAATTATATATACATATATACATAATTTACCATATTTGCATTGCTTTAAATTTTATATAACTCTTTGCCATCTTTGCTCTTAATTTTAATTAATTAAAATACCTACTCTTGCGTGTATAAACAAAACGATTCGTCAATCTTTCTCCGAATTCTACATTCTCCGTAATAATAGATTCGATCGGGAGATAAAGCGATCGTAGGAAATTCCAGAATTTCAATTGGCGATGAATGCTAAGCAAGTAGCACATCTAATAGGTTTAAAATTACCAGCAGACAAGGCTGTCAGCCCGACAGCAAAACTTCATTTCCAACTCCCCCTTAACTTTTCGTTATAACCATCTCCGAGATCGAATGCTTCGAGCAAGCTTAACGTTTCGATTCCGCTTCTCAATCCCGTATCAAATGTTTCGAGAATTAATCCCCTCGTCAAACTTATCCACGCGTAACCGTTCACCTCGAATTTTCGCACGATCGTTTACCGACAAAAAAACCAACCTTCTCTCTCTCTCTCTCTCTCTCTCTCTCTCTCTCTTCTTCTCTC